CCATAAAAACACAATGTGATACAACAATTAAATATATTATTATATAATTTATATCTGTGTTTTAAATAATTTTAAATTGTTTTAAAATTTTTAGTTGCATTGAAACAATATATAGAACAATTTAAAAAATTAAAATAAGTTAAAATAAGTTAAAAAACAGATATAAATAAGACTGCAGGAGAATGGACCATCATCCTACACACAGTATAGCCAACTTGCAGCCTCCCTATTTCCCTGGGATCCCCATGCATGTAGAAAGAACCAGGTTTTGAGTGATTTCCTAAATGCCAATAGGGTTGAGGCTAGTCTCACCTCAGGGGAATTATGTTCTAGAAGGCAGATGCCATGACAGAAAAGGCCCGTCTCCTGGGTCCCATCAGATGGAATGCAACATGCCCCTTCTGCCCAACCTAATGGGATGGGTAGCTGTAACTGGGGAGAGGCAGTCCCTCAAATAACCTGGTCCCATGCCATATAGGGCTTTAAAGGTCAAAAGCACCTTGAATTGAACCCAGAAGCAAACCAGCAACCAATGCAGCTTGCAGAGCAAAGGTGTAGTGTGTGCCATTCTAGGGTCACACATAACCACCTGCGCCATGGCATTTTGTACCAGTTGAAGCTTCCGGGTGCTCTTCAGGGGCAGCCCTATGTAGACAGTCCATTCAGGAGGTATAATGCTATGTAGGAATGACCTTGGGAGACAGGGCAATGAGACACAGCCAAGGGAATGGTCAGATAAAAGGCATCTTAGCCCACAGCAGGAATGTGGGCAGGGCAAGAGGCTCAGAAGAGACCCTCCCTAGTTTCTTGGGCTGTAAAGGAGATGGGGGGAGAGAAGTATCTTCAGACTTGCAAGATTCTGTTAATGTAACTTACAATAAAGTAGAATTATCTCCTCTGGTCATGTTTCCTCTCTGGTCTGCCTTGTAAGGTTGACATTATTCTTGCAAGTTTCATACTCTCTTCCAAAGAGAGGAATTAAGAATGGCTTCTGATCCCCAGGGGACTCCATTGTCCGCCAAGCACCTCACAGCAGCGTTGTTGCAACACCAGCAGCAGATAGATGCACAGATGACCAATTTGCAGAATGCCATGATAGAACTAACGCAACAGCTGGGACAGAATTTGCCTCAACCCGCAGCAGCACAACAACTTGTGGCTCAGACAATGCTACTGTGTTCCATGAGAGCTTGGCAGAGAAGTTTGGAGGGGACAGGATCAATTTCAGACATTCACAGCTCATTGTGAAATGTTTATGACAGGGAGGCTGCTGGAGTTTCCCACTGATTGCATGAAAGTGACTTTTGTGGTAAGTTTGCTGAAGGAAGCAGCAGCTAAGTGGGCAATACCATTCATTGAAGGGAATTATCCAGTGCTGGACTACTATCAGGACTTCATGCATAAACTCAGAGGACACTTTGGGGATCTCATACAGTGAATCACCACTAGTCTGAAAACTCAAGTAGGAACAGAGGAGAGTAAGATTGTATATTTCAGACTTTAAATTACTTGCTGGAGATGTAAGATGGAATGACTTAGCCATGATTAACCAGTTCAGAGAAGAGCTAGCCAAAGATCTGAGAGATGAGCTGGTGAGGCAAAACACCCCAAATACCTTGGAAGAGCTGTATCAGTGTTGTGTAGTAATAGATGCCCGACTGGAGGAGTAAAAGCAGGGAAGGAACGGGAAGGGGAAAAGAACCTATAGCCTGTCTTCCTCCATACACCCCACCTAATGGCCTCCTTGGAATCCCGCATGAGAGAACCCATGCAAATTGGAGCAACCAAGAGATCCCTAACATCAGGAGAGAAGCAAAGAAGAAGGGATCAGGGGTTGTGCTTTTACTTGGCACATAGCCAGATCAAGTCCAGTGAAAGCTCAAG